GTGTTCCCAGCATGGAGCGATGGAACCAAACAAAGACAGGCTGGGGGATGGAACTCTGAGAAGGTGGGCATTGCTATGAAGTCATAAAATCTGGTTTTCAAGCATGGCACTAGAGCAGAGTTTCTCCATCTTGGCACTATGGACTTTTCAGACCAGATACTTTGTCGTGGGGCAGTCCTGTGCGTTCTAGGCTGTTTAGCAGCATCCCTGGACTTCACCCAGTAGATGCAATAGCACTCCCCCTCCTCCTAGTTTTGACAACCAAAACATGTCTCCCAACACCGCCTAATGTCTGGGGAGGGGTGTGGAACACCTATCCTAGAAGAACAGCTTGGAAGGACAGAGGAGAGGCAGGATTCAGATGCGTTCTGATAATTCTGCTGAAGCATTTTTGGAAGGTTTCCCCACTCTTGGAATTGCCTTAAGAGCCAGTTTCTGAACAACATATGGAAATGAAGCCCTACTTCAAGCCCATGCTTCATTGCTCATGGCTATATTCCTGGAATCACAGAATTTTAAAATTGGAAAAGATCTTAGAGATTAGCTAGGTTCAAATAATTATGTAACCCACTGAATATCTGAACTTGTCCAAACCCAGCGTGTTAAAGATGTTTTGTCACTAGGACATGACATCCGTGCTAAAGAGAGATTATCAGACTTATTTCATTGTAAAGCATCTAGAACAGCATCATATGCAAAGTAAAAGTCAAAATGTTATAGTTGTCCTGGGTGCAACTTGGGGTAAGTACAGAATATCAGCCATAGGGGTTCATCACGATTTAAAACAAACAAAAGAACCTACAGTTCGGTCCAGCCCCAGAGCTGGGAGACAGGTGTTGGGGAAGGTTTAGGGGGTGCAGAGTGAAAACTGGTTCGGTGATATTAAGGTCTACTGCCGGCTGCCATCACAGCATTTTTAGCGAAAAGTCACAGTTTTGTTGCTTGGTCAGGAAAACGTTGTTTCATTTATACAGCATTTCTCTCTCCTAGACACACATCCTGCATTCATTTCCCTGAGCTGGTCCGCTTAAGTAAAAGTAAACTGAAGGAAAGTCATCTAGAAAACAAATCACCCAGTGGTCTGCTTATTCATTTTTCATAAGCATCAAAACCATCTCTTCCTCAACAAAAGACAGAACAAACACCATCTCTTCCAAAATAAAAGATGGAAGGCGGAGGAAGGAAAAAGAGTTTTCAAGGGATTCTCATTTTGTTCCGTTTGGACTGCAATGGAGGAAAGTAACTGTAGGGAGAACATCCATTTTCCTTGTCCGATGTTTTCCTCTGAAGCCTCCCCATCCTTGCCTTCTCCTCGCCTCTATTTCATGCTTTTGGCCTGGGGTGCGGGTGGAGGCTTAGGAAGAGTATCTGGGAAAAGTCATAGACATTCGGGTGACCTGCGCAGAGCAGGCTCTGTCCTGGCAAGGAGCCTGCAGTCAGCCAGCTGGGTTACACTGTCCCTGGGTGACACTGGGGCCGTGTCACCAGAGCCAGCCCTTTTGGCTATAGATACAAAGCTCACATCCTTTCATCAGCTGTTCGGCAATAAAGCTGGCACTCTTGAGTTCTCTTTGTCTTGTCTTCTGTGTCAGTTGGGTTTGAACTCAGGAGGGGAGGAAAAGGGTGTTATTAGCTCCTTAAGACACCAACTGTAAGACTGGGGTTAGAATGGTTTAAATAACCACCACGTGAGAACACTGGCCCATTCACACCACATCCCACAACTGCATGATCAAAGCCCAGTTAGACGCCCATCTCCAGGCTCAGATACTCAGAGTCTGGTCTCACAAGTGGGGAGATGCCAAGCTGATTACAGGAATGCTATTAAGTACCTCATAATTTTAAAAGAAAGCAACTTTCTCCTTTTGGGGGCAGGATTCTCCCCAAGTTCAAGTGCTGGCTCTGATACGAGCTTAGGTGAGTTTCACCTTCACGGTGCTGTTCAACTGTGACGGTCTCAGAGGTGGTGATGATAAAACCAGGAATTCTAGGTTTTGTGTTTGTTTTTAAATATGTTACCCCGGGTGAGAGAAAGGACCCTGTGAAAACAGAGCAACAGTGCAGAGCCATGAAACTTGGCGGCCTCCAGGTGGTTAAAGCTAACATTCATTTGTTCTACGTATTCCTTATAGAGTGAGACATCATTGCCTATAGAGGTCCCTAAGGAATTTAATTTAATGAAATGATCGGAACAACAGCAATTACAATATAATTGTGTGTACGTAAATATGTATAGGGGAACTTTGATAGAGTTTATGGTTGCTACATTCATCCAGAATTTTGGCCGACATTATTAATCTGCACTACTACGAAGAAAAGGTTTGTTAGTCAAAGATAAACCATCCCAATGATTTTGAATTAGTGAACTCCAAATTGCTGTGGGATAATGAGACGGCACTGTGCACACATACGACTCTCTGCTAAGCAGGAGCCTTCTGGCCCGCCACATAGGAGGTCTCCTTATTGAAAGCTTTCTTTTTAATTTTGAACAGCTTCCCAGCATTACCCTTTAGGAAAATTAAAATAAGGAGCTGGAATTTTGTCCTATTCAGCAAACCTCCTGGCAGGACTGCTCGCCGTGTCAGAGAAAACCTCACTGTGTCAGAGGAATTCCCTGCCCACCATTTCTCTAGATCTAGAAGAATTACACCTACTTTTTAAATAAAACTTTGACTTTGTTTCCTTCCCAGGCATAATGTTTTTGCACATTTTCTTCTTCTGGAGGATTTCTGGCCTGTCTTCCTTGTGTTCTTTATGCCTTACGGCTTGGTAGGGGTTGACATAATCCCCTGGGGCTTAAAAATCTTTAAATATACAGAGTCAGAGAAGTCTCCCCACAAAATCTGTGGGAGCCAAGCCTGTCCTCAGCACATCTCCCGGAGGCTACCCTCCGCCAAAGAGAATGACTTCACCTTGTACAGCTGAGGCTTCAAAGGTCCATTCCTAGTTTTAATTCCATTAAGAATACAAAGCAGTGATATACTGGAGGATAGCCGGAAGAATACAGGGGGGCTGAACATAAGAATATTGATTGAATCATAAACCAGATTCTCTAGGGGTGCTTGGCTCCCTGTAACTCAGAGACACTCAACATCCTAGGTTTCCCAGTACCTATGTGCAATATTTCCATTGCCTTCTTCCAAAAGACAACTAATAAAAAGGTGGCGTTCACAGAGCCCTTGTGATGCTATCAAAACCTCCTAAATTGGGCTTCCCTGGTGGCGCAGTGATTAGGAATCTGCCTGCCAATACAGGGGACACAGGTTCGAGCCCTGGTCCGGGAAGATCCCACGTGCCGCGGAGCAACTGAGCCCGTGCGCCACAACTACTGAGCCTGTGCTCTACAGCCATGAGCCACAACTGCTGAGCCCGCATGCCACAACTACTGAAGCCTGCGTGCCACAACTACTGAAGCCCGTGCGCCTAGAGCCCGTGCTCCACAACAAGGGAAGCAACCGCAATGAGAAGCCCACGCGCAGCAAGGAAGACCCAAAGCAGCCCAAAATAGATAAATTAATTAATTAAATCGATTGATTTAGAAAATAATTTTTAGAAAACCCCCAAAACCTCCTAAGTCATACTAGCCTTTGTAGAGAAATAAAAGCAATGACGACAACAGTGTTCACATCCTAGAAGTGCAGAAATGAAAGGCAAAAACATAACCAGAGGATCTGTTCACACCACATATTTTTAAAGACTGGTCACATCTGTGTGACTGAAACTACCTTCTGGGAAGATCTGTCAGTCTAGCACCAATTCAAAATCTTCCCTCAGTCTTAACTTTTTATTTATTCTAGAGTTCGGGGAAAACTGGAAAAGGAATGACTCTGGATTGGGATACTGGAATACTTCTCACTATGGAGTCAAATAGTACAGATATATTTTACTTAACTATTGAGTGCACTTACTGAGACTCTCATCTAAGGGAGCAGTGCACTAAGAGGCGATAGGATTGTCGGCAATTTATGATCCTGACGAAGTGGGTTGTTCTTAAGAGCTTCACAAAAGGATAAACCACAGTCCTTTTTTCCTCCTCCCCTTTAAGTCCCCAGAAATAAATAACACGGAGGTGGCAATGTGAAACATGTGGTAGAAATCCAGATCGGAAAATTATCATGAGAAAGTGTGGAAACTTCTTTGGGGGAAGAATGGGAGTGAGTGGGTCAGGAAGAGAGCCTAGAAGTCTAGATTCTAGTTCATACTTTGGAATACCTGATATTCCAGACTGGATAACAGTGCTGCAGTTACCTCAGCAGAAACTCTCCATGAACCGAAAACGCTTTCCAGTCATCTGAATTAGAAGAGGAAAGCGATGCAGGAAACAAGGTAAGTTAACGCTCCTTCTCCACCTGTCAAGTGTGAGTTTAACTATGAAAGTGGCTACAAAAGTAGCATGTGTTTGAAGGCACATTTCGTCAACCACACAGAGCAAGCTACCCATTGAACCATTCATCGTTCACAGGCTTACCACCTGGTGATTCCAATAAAGACCCGTGTCAATTATTTTTTAATTTTTAAAATAAAAAAAACAAGATCAAAACTACATCCACTAATGCTGTTGTTGGAAAATACAGCAAATGCCAATATACCACTCTGTGTTGGTAAAGAGCAACTTTATATTCCTAAATAATATGTAAATGCGCTGATATCTGACCATGATCTTGTGATTAAAATGGCCAAGACGCATCCCTTACAAGAGTAGTCTAGCATGGAGTGACCCACCCCAAGGTCATCTGTTTTCAACCAGACACTGTCTTAGCCTTCATTTAATCTCCACCACCTAGTACAATGCATGTTACACAGTTGGTATCCAAAAAAAATATCTGCTGAATGAATAAACATCCTTCTAAGTATCTTTTGTATTATAATGCAGCTCACAGGTTTATGATTAGATCCCTGTAGTTCTTCAACTGGAGAACTTTAGCATCCTTCATGGATACCAACACAAGCTCTTTCTCCATAAATGTTTAGCTAAACGATAAAGTGGAGCCGATCCCTACCTGCTTGGTTGGTGGTCACAGTGACGGACACAGATTGGTCTGGGCTAGGGTTATACTTGGATACGCCATTCACTGCCCAGATTTCAAAGGTGTAGTTGGTATGAGCCAGGAGGTCAGTGATGGAGACCTTGGTGGACTTCAGTCCATTCTGCTGAGGGGTGTAGTGGACCCCACTTCCGCAGGGCCGGCACCTGCTGGAGTCACCTGTTCCACATTTCTTGCACACGACATTGTAGGAAATATCCTGGCGGCCACCCGTGTTCTGAGGACTGCTCCATTCCAAGTTCACTGAAGTCTCGTTGACATTTGAAATCAAGTTTAGAGGAGCAGATGGTGGACCTGGAAAAAGAAAGAAACAAAACAAAACATACTATCACATCAAGAACTGAAACTAGCCTCTGGAATCTCTTGGAGCTTATATTCTTCTCTGCAGCTACAAGAAGCAAGATGGTCCTGTTTGGCAAAGAAGGCCAAAAGCAAATCAAGCCAGCAAAAATCTTTTAAAAGAGCAATATGATAGGGAATTCCCTGGTGGCCCAGTGTTTAGGAGTCCATGCTTCCTCTGCAGCGGGCACATGTTTGGTCCCTGGTCGGGGAATTAAGATCCCACAAGCCATGCAGCCAAAAAAATTAACAACAACAACAAAAAAAAGAGCAATATGATTGAAGGCTGTATGTGTGAGTGTCATTCTCCTTCCTGAACAAACAAATGTAGCATTGACTGCCACTCTGAGACTTGAAACAACTCTATATCAAATGGGCTCCAAACCTGACTTTCCATCTGAAGTGGTCAGGCCTTTTTTCTCATAACTTATCTAGTCTTAATCTAATCATTTGAAAGATGGGTATACGAAGGTGTTTCTAATTCCCAGGGCTGTTGTGGGACTCTGGTAAATTAATAGTTATATACCACTTCTGAAGATAAATGATGATTCCTAAGTACAGTGCGTCACCAATATGGAATAAAAATAACTGCACTGCATAGATACGCCTCTTCAGTCTGACATGGCAGCTAAGAGTTAAGCTGTTTATGGGTAATTAAGTAGGAACTGGTTTAACCTGGTTGCAGAGATGTCAAAGGTAGAGTTGTTGAGAAATCTCAACTCCAGGGCAGGGATTGTGCAAAGACTCCCAAGACCCCATGTCCTGTCCTTCAACTGACCAGGGCTGCACCAGGCTCTTCTTATGATACACATTTCCACTGACATCAAAGGTTTCCAAAATATGTCTGGTGGCAGTGGCTGTTTTGAAAGAACAACTGATTGCAAACAACATAAATGGTTGGTTTAAAAATAGGAACAGTAAATAAGACCACAGACTCATGATGAACCATCTCGATTCTTGCTGTAGATTAGTCTCTATGCCAAGATGTTGTGACACAAACTGTCTTCAGGGAGAAGAATGAGGGTGAAACACAAAAGGGGGAATTTTCCTAGTCTGAGCTGATTCCAAAGGTCTAAAAGATACCTGCTGCACGCTAGGAAAAAGTATTGACTCACTGCAACAATTGGAAGGTTCTCTCTTTTCTTCGCTCTTTCCCACTTTGGTGTTCCAAGAAAAGAGCCAAAGCAAGTTTCAATGACAGTCTGAGGCTTCTTGCTTCTTGCTTCTATTCTACTTCTAATATATTTGTAATGACTGCTTTCAGGGAAATGTGTCCATGTTCCCCAGAAAAAGGAGGTTAACCGGAAGCCTGCATGAGGTCAGGAGAAGCTTTACCTAGTCAACCATAACGGAATATTCTGTTCCAGACTAGCCATTGCCAGAGAATTGGAAGAGGTAACTTTTACGAATAAGGAGTCATATTCAGTATTTATTACTTAGTTCACAGTGATGAATGGCTAAAGGATTTTGGTAATAATATTGAATAAGGGTAATTCACTCTCCTTTTCTCTTTATACAACTTAATTGAAGCCTTTATTTTATTTATTTATTTATTTATTTATTTATTTTTGCGGTACACGGGCCTCTCACTGTTGTGGCCTCTCCCACAACAGTGATGTGGCCTCTCCCGGAGCACAGGCTCCGGACGCGTAGGCTCAGCGGCCATGGCTCATGGGCCCAGCAGCTCCGCGGCCTCTGGGATCTTCCCGGACTGGGGCACAAACCCGTGTCCCCTGCATCGGCAGGCGGACTCTCAACCACTGCGCCACCAGGGAAGCCTGAAGCCTTTATTTTAACAAGGTAAGCAGGACCTCCCAATCTCCCTGGGAGACGAATTACCGACAACCTCTCTCTCTTAATGTTAAGACCTGGTCCCCATCCTGAGAACCTTAAAGGAAAGACAGTGCTGTAAAATTTGTGTTAAAGGTAAGATTGCCCCCACAGAAGTCCTCAGAAAGAAAGCACAAATTTCCTTCTTGTTTAGATTCCAAATTTATATCTATGGTCCTTAGTAGGGTAATGGAAAACAACAGGATTAAGTAAATGTTTTTTTTTGAATAAATGATTAGAGCTATTTGAAATCACAGACTCCTAGAGCCAGATAAAATGTTAAAGATCATTTGGCTAAATAGTCTTATTTTGTAGATGAGGAAATTGAGAGCCAGAAAGCAGAGTTGACAATACTGAAAGTTCACGCAACCTAATTAGTTACAGAGTCCAACTAAAATCCCAAAGTACTAACTCCCACACTCTGGGGTTACTTCCACATTAAGTTACTTGATTAAGTTACATGAAGTTACTTCCACATTAAAGGTAAAATAATAACAAAATCAGTAGCTTCAGCCAAAGTTTAAGAGGTAAAGATAGGAAAAGGGAAGGTGTATCTTCAATCCTGTTCAAATTCTGTAGATGTTTCTTTCCATCATAGTGAAATTGATTGCTAGTCTGCTGCTGAAGTTGACCACAGCTTGGTTCATAAAATGGGTCAAGCCACTGGTTCTTATTTTGCTGTGGGTTAAATAAGAGTGACTCTCAAATCCATTAACCTCCTTGCCAAGGTTCCTAGTCCACTTTCACATGGGAAAATGTGACACAATGAATCAAGCACAGAAGCAAAAAGTCAGTAATTAGTATGTAGGACGGGGCATCGCAATATCTAAACAGAGAAGAAATGGAGCAGAAAACTAAATGGTCACAGGACTCAGAGATATAACGCTGCTACGTGAAAAACAATACAAAGATGCTGCAGGGTTTCAAAATGGAGGGCTGGCATGAAAACAAGACGCAGTGCGGAATAGCCTTCTTACTTGGGCCAGTGATCCTTAAAGAATCTACCCTGGGGCAAATGCTCAACGGAAGACAGAGAACTAAGCAAGTTCAAGTTCAGTGCTGCCTCCATGAATGGTCTGGTGAATTGTACTGCATATGTTTTATGTTTTGTCGCCATAAGGAGTGATGGTTACACGGGGGCATAGCAGCAGCTTACAAATTGGACTACAACCAGAGAATTGAGGTGGGGGAAAGGAATAATAGAAACGTGCACCCAGTATGATTATTATTTTGGCCTGCATAAACCTGGGAAAGCACACTTGCTTTATAAATTAAAATCACAATGGTGGTTGTATTTGAGTTTTTTCTTTTTAAAAAACTTTTGCCAATTAAAAGATGGTAAACACATCACGTGTATTTCCATGTATAGGGAAGAGCCATCTCTTCCTCAGAAAAGAAAGTATCCTCTTCTCAAGAGGATGGAAAAAAAAAGCATGGCCTTTAATACAGCCAAGTCAATCTGGGCCCAACAGTCATACTTAACAGCAGCATCTTAAAATAATTACCTGTAGAGAAGACTAAAGAGAATAATACAGGCAACATGAGTAACACTGAGTTTTCTCAATCAACACAAGGCATCCAGAAGGAAAAAAACTTAACTCTTAGATTATCTTGTCTTCTTTTTTTAAAGTATTGAAACCCAGCAGGACTCTGTAGGGCCTTCCTGGGGACAGATCCCCATGGCCCCTCTCTCATTTGTGGAACAGCTTTAGCCTCCTAGGCCTTCCCCGAGTTCCAAAGAGCAAATTTAATCAGGGAAGTGAGAATATGCAGAAACAAAGGAAAACAGTCAAGCGAGACAAAATAAAAATAGTTTAGCCAAAAAACAAAGTCAAGGACCTTTAATTCCTCCTCAAGGGCTACAGTTAATATCCTGAACCATAACCTTGACTTGTTCTGTAGATACTAAAACCCCCATCAGGTAAAAAGTTAATTGCATGCTGACACAAGCACTAGACCCCAGGCCAGTTGGAACCAGAAGGTTGATGACTGAGATTCCCAAAACATCACCCTGTTACCTCACCATCAACCAATTAGAGAACTGAGCACGAGCTGATCACATACCTTGAGACTCTCTCCCTCACACTGTCTTTAGAAACCCTTCCCTGAAAGTCATCAGAGAGTTCCAGTCTTTTGAGCATTAGCTGTCCATTCTCCTCACTTGGGGCCCGGCAATAAATGCTGTACTTTCCTTCACCACAATCTTGTGTCAGTAGATTGGTTTTGCCGCAGGTCAGGTGAGCAGGCCCAAGCTTGGTTCAGTAACAGCATCATATCTAGATACTTAGGAACAATTACATTTCTGACAAATGCTTGCCTTTCTCATCAGAAATATGCCCACCTCTAAATATCTCCAATTTCAGATATGAGATTTATAACTAATAGGGCCATTTAATTTTCTAGTCTCCATATTGACATCGTATGTACCAAGCATACACCAACATCAGGTAGCTGCAGGTCATTGTGAATTATAGGGTTTTATGTCTTCCCAAACTGCCCACTACTAGCCTCAATGTACGACTGGCAGTAATCCTGCTTATGAGATTATTCCATATTTCGGGGCATTATTTCTATTTCCTACTCTGTTTGGAACATGTAAAGGGGTCTTGCTAATCAGACACCCAGTACATATCTGTTTCTATCACAGTCTGTGTGCTCCTCAAGAGAAGAATTGATGTCTTCCTCATTTCCCAGTATCTCCTATGGTTCCTAGTTCAGAGCAAGCTCAATAAACTTTTGAGGAGTCATGAATGACTGGATGGAAAACTAACAAGGTCCTCTAATGCATCTTCTGCCCATCTACCTACAATGTTACTTTAAGCCTGTGAATTAATACAAGCTTCTCTGAGATAAGGCTGTACTAGACAGCTTTTCACATACTGATTCATTACCATTAAGCCCTGTAAAGGAGTATCTCAGTGTAGCTGGTTTAATTCAAGTTCCTCTTTTCTACATTTTAAAAATACTTTGGAACAAGTAGGGAGGGCTATGTATCATATAGAGGTGGTTTCTTCTGTTAGGAGGGACTGTGGAATCATTCAATTACTCAACAAATATTTATTGTGTCCAGTATTTGTCACCTGCTCTAGAGGAGGGAGGAAAAAGAAATATTCTGATTCATTTTG